CTGGACCCGGGCCACAACTTTGGTTCTTCTTTGTACTCAGGCACAAATGGGTGTCATTATGTTATGAAATCTTTACACAATGTGTATGAACCATGATTTCTCAATCAATCCATATAATCATCTTCCTTGCTTTTCTGTAACATAAAGCCAAGAAGTCTATCAGCATTCAGTTTATGCAGAAACACAGCAATTTTGTGATCAGAGACAGTAAGACAATTTATATCTTGTTTGAACGAAGTTTTAGGTATAAGCTTTTACTTTCCTTCATACTGTGAAATATAATATACTCTCAGCTATGAGTGATCGCCAAAGAAGAAGAAGAAGACTCTCTTGTCATTTATTATTTTTAGCTCATTTCTTTTGTGTAAATAGCAGCTGATAGGGACATAAATCAATTATTTTTTTTGAAGAAAACATTTCTGACAGCTAGATGCTAAAGTTATGAAGTGCCATTAATCATCGCTGTGTTCTGGTTATTGAAGCAAAGAATTCCCCAAATCTGCACACCTTTCTTCTGATCTCTGTTAAGTGGGACTGTGGAAGTTCTTCCTATTTCTAGTGTAAAGGGCTTTATAGAGTAATCATAACACTTTGAATTTGGCCCAGTAGCAAACAGCAGTAAGTGCAGATCTCTGAGCAGAGATGTTATATGCTGATGGGGTCATGTGTATGAACCATAGGAGCCAACTCCTAGGGGCTGAGGTGGGCATTGTTATTCAAATGGTGTGCATGTGCCATGTCATGTGATCAATTATGCAAGGTGGGGCTTACCTGCTCCCCCAATATTTTATTCAAGTTGGCACCCCTGGTATGAACTCTAAAGGTGCAGAGGGCCGCACATCAACAACTGAGATCGGCGACAGACAAGGAGCAAACTACGGCTTCATTCCTGCACCATTTTACCAGAGAGTAATTCCCATTGGACTCACTGGGAGCTACACCTGTGTGTAGGATTGCTCTGTCGGTCAAATAAATGAGAGTAATTTCTACAGAGTGTGGAAAGTTCCTGTCAGGCAATCCAGTCGCTTATTGTAATCTAATGCAGACATCAGTGCTGAAACTGCTGCTGGGAATGGGTGGGTCTTCAGACTGCTTCAGAAAAATACTCTTGGAGGTCTTTAAGCAGAGGCTTGACAACCATGTCAGGAGTGCTCTGATGGTGTTTCCTGCTTGGCAGGGGGTTGGACTCGATGGCCCTTGTGGTCTATTCCAACTACTCTATGATTCTATGATTCAAGCACATCTCATTTTTTTTTAAAGAAACAAAAACCTCATTAATCTGAGGAGAGCTTTCAGAAACTCACTGAACTCTAGTTGTCAATAAACTTACAGAGAGAGCAGTGGCATAGTGTGGGTTGCCAGAGCCCGGGACCGCATGGAGGGGGGTTGGGGTGGGAAGGAGGGAAACAGATGGAGTACGCATGCACATTCAACTGCTTAATGGGGTCCACATCACCCAGGAGATTGCAGCCGTAGAGCTAAGAAAAGAAGACTCATTCCATTGTCCAGAGAGATCCAGTGGCATCGCAGGGGGGGGGGGGGTTGACAAGAAGGCAGCCATGAGTAGAGGAACCTGCCACTTTCCGTATGGCGCTTGAGCGGTGGCGGCAGCAAACCACTATGTACAGCACATGTGCGGCGTCGGTACATACAGCACATGCATCGTACGTACATTGCCACTGCACATGCGCCATACGTAGCGATGCTGTGCATGCGCCATACGTAGTGGCGCCACGCATGCGCAACCAGCTGTTTGCCCCGCCCCGGGTGTCAGTTAACCTTTGTTCGCCCCTGGAGAGATCACTTCCTGGTTCACATGGAGAAACTGTTTTCAACGGAGCCCAGTGACAGAATCATGCAGCTGTACTGAAGCAGCACTGGATGTTGAAATTTTGTGTCCCTAACAATCTTGTGGCCCTGTGGCCCTCCCCACACTATGCCATTGGGTGAGAGTGATCAACCTAAGCCTCAGGGCTGAATGTGGCCTTCCAGGGCTCCCCACCTGGTCCTTGGAACTGTCCCCAGGCCACCCCCCTGTCTGGTGCTGCTTCACAGCCCAAATGATTTTTGCCAGGCTGGAATGTGTTCCTGAACTCTGATAATGCCTCTTGCTTATCCAGATATAGATATGTACGTGTGTGTAGAATATAAGGTCAGGGACCCCTGACCATTAGGTCCAGTCATGACCGACTCTGGGGTTGCGGTGCTCATCTCGTTCTATTGGCCGAGGGAGCCGGCGTACAGCTTCCGGGTCATGTGGCCAGCATGACTAAGCTGCTTCTGGCGAACCAGAGCAGTGCACGGAAACGCCGTTTTCCTTCCCGCCGGAGCGGTACCTATTTATCTACTTGCACTTGCTTTCAGACTGCTAGGTTGGCAGGAGTAGGGACCGAGCTACGGGAGCTCACCCCATCATGGGGATTCGAACCGCAACCTTCTGATTAATAAGTCCTAAGCTCTGTGGTTTAACCCACAGCGCCACCTGCGTCCCCATGTGTAGAATATAGTACCCTGTAAAAAATGTCAATTTGTGGAAGATGGCCCAGAAGGGAATGTGGTCCTTGGGTTGATAAAGGTTCCCCATGGCCTAAGGCCTCAAAGCCTCCTTTGCTTCTCCAGGGCTTCTGAAGTGAAAGAGCTCCAAGAAAACCATCGGCATCATGCCTGCTTGGACCATGAGCTGTGCAAAGGAGGAGCACAGAATGGGCAGAAAAGAGAGCAGGAGGGAGTCAGTCAAAGGAAGGCTGTGGGAGCAGGACTGGAAGAAGAGAGGTGAGGTAAAGTAGCAGAATAAGGACTCTGAAGAGTGCAACTTGAAATCAAGAATGCAATGACTGCACATATAAAAACACTGGGCCTGTAACTGGCTAGATGCAGCCTATTTCCCCCCACAATTTTTTTTATTGATTTTCCACATTTATCACAAAAATGACCTAACAAAACACACAACAAAGAAAAACACATTACACTACAATAAACTAAACACAAAAAAATTATTTCTTCAAATACCTAATTCTCATTACATTGATAATTGACTTCCTCGAGTCCCCTCTCACTGATTTTCATTATACCACCTGTATAGCAGTTCTTCAAATTCATATTTCTACTAATATTAACTCCTTTCATTTACTAACCTCTTCTCCTTTATTAATTTTCTATTCCCTAGTATTTACTACCACATATTCTTATTCTATCCCTAAGCCTATTTATTATTTCCAAGAATTTTCTGTTTATTTTGGAAAGCAGGACTCTAAACCTGACCTACTAGACCAGATTATAACGCTTCTGGCTGTTGCTTCAGGGAGGTCCCAAAGCAATTTCCTCCTTCTGCCTCAGCAGGACTATTAATTGTGATCCTGAACTTACTGAGGTGAATCAACACTTGGATCCTTGTCCAAGGTCCTGACTTTGCCCGAGTTTCCACTATCTTAATTGGGCCTTCATCTCCTTTTAGTGATGAAAATTGAAATGGATCAGGACATTCAAGAATTATGAGCTGCAAAGTTTCTCATTGTGAGCTTGGTTATTTTTCCTCCCACGGGTTACTTGTTACCTTTTTGGCCCGGTAATTATGGGATTTAGTGCCGTCACCAGGAAGAAGACACCCTAAGTATGATTAAACTTCAACAGTTCTAACTCCTGAGTAATAATTATCACAATACTGCATCCAAAGCTAAACTCACCTTTGTCTGAGAACATGTCTGCAGCGTTCATCAAAAGGTCTGCAAAGAAGGTCAGTTTTTCATAGACAAAGATGTGAAACTGGCATTCTACAAACACAGATGGGTACAAATGCTTTTAACTTTGAGAATTTATCAACACATGAGAAAACAAATGTCTTCTAAGACTGGATTCATACAGGATGCTGCTAAAAAGGTTGCATGATTTGAGTGATTGAGACCTTTTTTTTACTTTAATGGTACGGTTCAAGCCTTGAGATATAAGAAGCTGAAGAGCAGAAGAGTAGGTAAAGGTAAAGTTAAAGGTAAAGGGACCCCTGACCATTAGGTCCAGTCATGGCCGACTCTGGGGTTGCGGCGCTCATCTCGCTTTATTGGCTGAGGGAGCAGGCATACAGCTTCCGGGTCATGTGGCCAGCATGACTAAGCCGCTTCTGGCAAACCAGAGCAGCGCACGGAAACGCTGTTTACCTTCCTGCTGGAGCGGTACCTATTTATCTACTTGCACTTTGACGTGCTTTCAAACTGCTAGGTTGGGAGGAGCAGGGACTGAGCAACGGGAGTTCACCCGTGGCGGGGATTCGAACCGCTGACCTTCTGATCGGCAAGTCCTAGGCTCTGTGGTTTAACCCACAGCGCCACCCGCGTCCCTAGAAGAGTAGGTGCTATATATTTTTTATATAGTTTCAAGAAGACTTTTTATATAGTTTCAAGAAAATAGTTTCAAGAAGACTAACAGAAAATCTCTGTAATAAAATGTTTAAAATATATAGAAGAGTAGGTGCTATATATTTTAAACATTTTATTACAGAGATTTTTTGTTAGTCTTCTTGAAACTATTTTAGCTTCTCCCAGCACCCCCTGGTGTATTTCCAAATGCCTTTCGGCAAGCAGCAAATCCAGTTCATCACAAACGAAGCAACATGTTATATTGATGTACTGTATGTGGCTTGTGTAATAGAGTCACAAAGGCAACATTAGACAAATGCCTGCTTTCACTCAAAATTGGCGTGGGGTTGGGGAAGAACCAGAGAGAGGGGTGGATGGAATGAGAAAAAAGGAATGGGGAGGGAGAAGGGTGGTGGTGGTAGGGAATGAGTCCAATGGGACTTCCTTGTGAGTAAATATGCATATGCACCATTGCACAAGGACAAGGCAAAGGCCGTTCCCCCAAGAAAGGGCAGCTGAGTGCTTTCAAGGAGGCGAGAGAGGTGAAATCACATACATGAAATGGCGTCAAAACTACCCCAACCTCATAGTGAGTCAGTTTACCAGATGATAATAGCTGCTACTGGGTGGGTGTGATGGGAACATTTGGTCCTTGGGATGCCATTGGATTCCAGCATCTCTGGCTGTTGGCCATGCTGGCTGGGGCTGATAGGAATTGGAACCCAACAACATCCAAAAAGCCAGAAGTCCCCCTCGTCAGCTCTAGAGCATGTTGCCTGAGGACCTGTTAGCAACACAGCTGCCTCAGTTTGTGACAAGCCAGCTCGCCACAGACTGCAAGCGGCCATTTGAGCAACTTCAAGAAGACCCAGCTCGGAAGGTGTAACAGGTAACTGGCCTAAGATTGCTCCACAAAATGTCATTTGAGGATGCCAGCTTGAAGATAGCTCCAAGCAGCAAGTGGGGGACCTGCCAGCAGCTGTCAGGAAACAGGAGCTCAGGAAGGTTTCTACATTTCCTCTTTTCTCCACCTTATGTATCTATTATGCCGTGAAAACTAACATATATGTCTTAGATATATCTTAAGCTGCTTCTTTCTTCCAGCCTTGGACTCTTTTTCTTACCACCACCCCCTTTCTGACACTGAGGAAAACACACAATGGATCGTGAATATTTAATTGTTCCTCTCATTTTACAGGTTTTAGTTTAAAGGTAACCATAGCACACGCCTGCATCCATTATTAATTGCTGAACAGCTCTGTCGCTTCTTCGGACTCCACTTTCCTTTCGATGTTCGCTTCATATGAGCGGTGGCGCCATCAGTGGAAAACAACTTTGATATTGTTTTAAGTGTGAGAATCTGGCAAATGCGATGACAACCTAGACCAGTAGGATGTAAGCGGCTGATTTCGGCGGATGGGACAATGTTTAAGAGCGACAGCAAGGGCGAGGGCGAGAGGCAGCCGAGGAAAGTCCGATTCCGGGTCGCTTCTTCTCACAGCGGGAGAGTGCTCAAGGAGGTGTACGCCGACGGGGAGACCTCTGACTCATTGGATTCCGAGTGCACCAGCAGCTCGGAAACAGACCCAAACAGCAGGCTGAGTGAATCGGACGGACCGCACAACGGAAACCTTGGGTTGGAGTGGGATGAGAACGAGAAGGTGGGCGATGACATGCTCATTTTCGTGAGAGCTGCCAAAGAGAGAGGATTTGGCACCAAAAGAGTCAACATCCTCAGCAAAAATGGCACCGTTCGAGGAGTCAAGCACAAAGTCAGTGCTGGTCAAGCCCTCTTTGACAATTTAACAAAGGTATTTGAGGTAAGTGAAGCGGCTTTGCTCCTAGTCTACAACCTCTTTCTGTCTCCACTTTCAAATTATCCCAAAGCATATTTTTGTCTATGTACGCTCAACATTCAGAGTCCATAACAACATCCCAGAGATTAATTCCTAAAATGAGAGCTCCTTTTGATCTAGCGGTCAGTCTTTGATATCTTTGCAACAAAAGCAAGAAATAAAAATAAAAATTGACATTACCGGAAGCCTGCAGGCTAGATCGCACCCCCAAAAAACCTCAAAGGGGAACACTCTAAAGGTCTCTGGAAAGATCTTCACCACATGGTGTATTAAATATTCTTTTCAAGCACTTTTGGGGTATGTAGTTAGCCCTGCTCAGGTGATCAAAATAAATATGTGGGGACTCAAATGGTGTAAGGGTATTGGTGAACTCCCAGGCTTTGCTCCAAAAGCCCTCATGTCATAGGGAGAATTCTAACCATGTTCATTAGACTTCTCCCCATGATCAGGAACTGTGCAATTGAGACTCCAAATTGCAGAAATTATTGTAAACATGTTCAGTGGAACTCCGTGAGAATCTCCTCGCAGTCCTTCATGCTCGATACCTGAAAGGTCAGGTCAGGTCAAAAGGGGGCGGGGCCACTGCACATGGGAATGCTGGGAGTGGGACAAACAATGGAGAGCTTAAATGAAGCTCCCTTTGGAAGATGCCATCTGAAATAGACTGCTGTTCATCATTTCATATAAAAATTGGCCTTGTCAGAAATATTTCCTTTTTATATCAGGTTCTGATGTGGTTCATCAGTCCTGTTTTTAATGATCAATTTCAATATTGTAAAAACATGCTTCTCACAGCCATGACATTATTATTATTATGTAGCACTACAACTGATCTCAGTAATTCTTATAATCCTCTAAGGTAGACTAGCATTATTATGTAACAGTGGATACGGGGAGCAGAGCCAAGAGTTGGTAACTTGCCTAATGGTTATCTAGTTGGGTCCTAGCAAAGGCAAAAAATGAACTGTGGACTTTTGGGTTTGTAGCTGTGCCTCTGCTCCACTATGCAATTTGAGATTTAAAGTAAAAAAGAGTAGTGCATACTTGTCTGCAAGATTTTTCTTACATGTAGGAATTTTGTCGTGTTTGAAGTGCTCCTTGATGGTGAAGAAAATGAATTCTCAAAGGAGATTTCTTCCTTCCTTCCTGTTCAACCTGTTCTGGATTTCAGCCCTAGCCCTGGTGATATCCAACTTGAATTAACCCCTGAAAACCACTGTTGGTTTTTACAAGCAGGAGTTAGATGATCTAGCCTCAGTCAAGCACTTTTCAGACTTACTCTTTTAATGGGACAATTAAATACATGCCTAAAGTTGCAGTCCTCTGCACATTTACATTTCCTTTCTTCTGAGTAGACATACAGGCGATTGCATTGTCACCCTCTGCCACTGAAGTCCAGAGGACTTAAATATTCCGAGGACTGGCTGAATCATGTCCATCCTACCTAATGGTGGGTTGTATCTGGTGCTGTTACTCAGCTGACAAAAAGGTTTCCATCAGTGGAACAGGGAGGGAAGAAAGCTTTGGTGATTCACCCTTTCTGCGGCAGACTGTCACCTCCCTAAATCTGCTCCAGACGGTTGTGGGACACTCCAGAGTAAATTTAGGGGGCTGCAGGTGGGAGGGGACACCATTGAAAATTTATTCTCTCCCTGCTCTGCTAATGGAGGCCCTACGATCCCTGTTGAATACAACCCAGTAATTCCTAGTGAGATATACTAAGGTTGCAAATAAATTATTAATCCCTCTTATCGCCCTTTCCTTCTGGTGATTTTCAGGTTGAAAATAATGAACGCTCTTTTCACGTCATATTAAGTCTTGAAATGATTACGTATGTGAAGCATTAATTTTGGACTTCTGAAAACGGATTAAGAATGGAAATGTGTCATTACATCATAGTCATATGATATAATTTTAACAGCTTTAGGCAACTGTTTGCATCTTTACATCTTCCTTGTGTAAAAAAAGCATACTTGCAAACTCCCACCAACTTTTCCAACCAAGAATGTTACCTTTGATAATGAATAATGGACACACAAAAACACTTTAGTAGAGGGGAAATGAAAACTGAATTAGAGCTCTCTGTCTTAATAAGACCCTCTTCTCACTAGCTGCAGGAAAGGATTAAATTGCTTCATTTGAATTTTCCCCCATTCTGAGTACTTAGGCTGCAACCTTCTTTGTACAATAAATTTAAGGACTCCTAGAGAAATAAGCCAGTTGAATTCAATACATGTCTACTCAAAAGTAAGTCAACTGAGTATGGTGATGTGTGATTATAGCCTAAATGTATGGTTTCTTGATATAAAATCCTAATATTTGTATACTGAGGAAATAGAAAAATATATATCAAAATATCAATTTTTAAGTAATTATATTTTTCTAAATCTCATTTTCAGCCTTTAAATGTTGAGTATTATTCAGTTCATTTTATTTACACATTTACAATATTATATACCATTAATTAAGTGGAGTGCAATGAGAAATATATTGAAACAGTATAAAATTTAACACACACAAATATGCATGCAAACTATATAGCACATCAAAAAACCCCAACCCAGGGCTGTTTGCATTGCAGGGAAAGCTTGAGTAAATGGGAAAGTTTGCAACAACTGTCTGTAACTTAGTACAGAAGATATGTGTGCAGTGTTCAAAGGGTGGGAATTCTATAAGATAGGTGCTGCTAAGCAGAATCCCATGATGAAAGTTGATGGGCAGATGTCCTACAGCAGAATCTCTGATCAAATGCAGTGGTCAGGCAGGGGGTGCAGGAGACCAGGCTATAGGAGCCCCCTCAAAGTCGATAGGTGTCTTGTGATTATGTGGGGTAGGTCTTACTTGGGCTCCTCCAATATTTTGTTCAAGCTGGCACCCCTGGACCAGACAGTTCCTCAGGTAGTAATAATAATAATTTAGTATTTATACCTTGCCCATCTGGCTGGGTTTCCCTAGCCACTCTGGGTGGCTTCCAACCGAATATTAAAAACACAATACAGCATTAAGCATTAAAAACTTCCCTAAACAGGGCTGCCTTCAGATGTCTTTTAAAAGTAAGATAGTTGCTTATTTCATTGACATCTGATGGGAGGGCGTTCCACAGGGCAGGCGCCACTACCGAGAAGGCCCTCTGCCTGGTTCCCTGTAACCTTACTTCTCACAGTGAGGGAACAGCCAGAAGGCGCTTGGTGCTGGACCTCAGTGTCTGGGCAGAATAATGGAGGTGGAGATGCTCCTTCAGGTATACTGGTCCGAGGCCATTTAGGGCTTTAAAGGTCAGCACCAACACTTTGAATTGTGATCGAAAACATACTGGGAGTCAATGCAGGTCTCTCAGGACTGGTGTTATATGGTCTCGGCAGCCACCCCCAGTCACCAGTTTAGCTGCCACAATTCTGGATTAATTGCAGTTTCCTAAGCTACCTCATAGGGACGCGGGTGGCGCTGTGGGTAAAAGCCTCAGCACCTAGGGCTTGCCGATCGAAAGGTCGGCGGTTCGAATCCCCGCGGCGGGGTGCACTCCCGTTGCTCGGTCCCAGCGCCTGCCAACCTAGCAGTTCGAAAGCACCCCCGGGTGCAAGTAGATAAATAGGGACCGCTTACCAGCGGGAAGGTAAACGGCGTTTCCGTGTGCGGCTCTGGCTCGCCAGATGCAGCTTTGTCATGCTGGCCACGTGACCCGGAAATGTCTCCGGACAGCGCTGGCCCCCGGCCTCTTGAGTGAGATGGGCGCACAACCCTAGAGTCTGTCAAGACTGGCCCGTACGGGCAGGGATACCTTAAGCTACCTCATTGGCTCTGTTAATTGTCACATGTAACAAGGAGTGACCTGGGCTGAATATATGAATTCCATTCTGCATCAAAAGACAAACGCAGCCACTTTATTAAATGGAACCGGAATGAACATTGAAGTGTGAATGTGCATCAAGATGCACAGCACATCAGCTGCATTCCTAAAATATATACGCAATAAAATTAAGTGGGTGAGTGGATGTGGTCTTGATACCCAACTATTCACATAGAATTCAAAGCAGGCAACTGCATAGAGAGGCAACTCACAGCTTAGGAGGATATGCAACACTTTCACTATTCAAATAGGATCAAATAAAGGAACAAACAACTTTGGATTGTGCAAATGGTTCCCAAACCTACGTTCTCTGAAGTTTCTCCTGCTGCCTCCGCTTGAAGATCTTGCAGGGTTTGTAACCATCTCATCAGCTCAGGGGTTCTACTTAGGGGTTCTGCTCAACATCTAGGCTAGGGCAATCTTCTGAAGGGGATTGAGGGGACTGTGAGAGAAGCAGAAAGGTAGTATGTGGGGCATTTTGAGTTTCTGGTGGTAGGAAAAAGCCAGCTCAGATAGCTGGCTCTGAGTTGGTTCTCTGTTATGAACCTGCATTCCAACAGCTAACCAACTCACAATATTTATAAAGTGAATCTACTGGCAGTGGTGTAGCATGGGTTGCCAGTGCCAGGGGCTGTGCAGTGGAGGGTGGATGGGTAGAGGGAAAAGGATGGAGTACGCATGTGCATTCAACTGTCTAAGAGTGTCCACGTCACTCAGGAGAGCACAGCTACAGAGATAAGAAAAGAAGAGTCATTCTGTTGCCTGGAAAGGTTACTTCCTGGTTCGCATGGAGAAGCCATTTTCAACAGAGCCCAGCAACGGAAGCATGCAGCTATATTGAGGCAGCACCGGGTGTTGAAATTTTGTGCCCCCAAACAATTTTGCGCCTGAGGCAACCGCCCCTGTGCCCCCCCACTATGCTATTGTCTACTGCAGAGTCCTATCAGCAATACACATGTAAGACATATTCCTCAACAAGTGGTTTGAACCTATGCACAGAGCTAAGATGGCTCTGCTGTGACAGAGGTCTGTGAGTGGGACAAAGCTGCAATAGTCTTCCATAACCTGTCTTCAGCTTCTTGTTTTCTCTGCCGAAACTTTCTCCAGCTCATTGACA